GGAAGAAGGAGTTTCCCTGATTGGACTCTGCCTATGAGCGGAAGCTGATGCTCCTCCCTCTAGAGTGTCGCCAGGCCCTGGTGTGCAACAAGCATGCCAAAGCTGGGAATACCGTCACAGTGGGCACTGACACTTCCAGCACAGTGCCCCGCTGCCTCACGTCACCTCAGGAGCTCACCACCAGACGCTGGCAGACAGCCAGGGTCAGCCTACTCTGGAAGGCCCTACTGAAGGCAGAGGGACCTATCCCAGCCTGACAACCACTCCCGCCACTGGGGCCATCAAGATGGAGGCCGACTTGGTCAAAGAAGATGTGCCTGTTGACCCATGTTCTGCCCTGCTCGAGCTGCAGAGGCTCAACCTGTGTCAGGCCCAGAGCATGGCGAACACTGCAGCCCCAGGAGGGTGAGGGATATGCAGGTGGGTGGTAGCCGGAGGTAAGGGGAAGACCAAGGGTGAGGGAGGCATCGAGCCGCCCGGGAAAGCTCCAGCATGCCAGGCCCCTGGGTAGGAACCAACACACTCCATTCATACCTCCACTATGTCGAACCTTCACCAGCGGCTGCCTGCGTGCCTGGCACTGCGCCCGCCCCCTTGAGTACACCCGTGAAGAAGCCAGACCTGGCACCTGTCACTGGGTGAATGCAGTCACACTTCCCACTCCCTGGGACAGAGGTTGTAAACTGGTGATAAAAATTCAGCTGGGCGTGGGGGCACACAGTTTTAATCCCAGTGCTTGGGAGGCAGAGGCAGGAAGGATCTCTGTGAGTTTGAGGCCAGCCTAGTCTACAAGGTGAATTGAATTCTAAGACAGCTAGGGCTGTTATAAAGAGAAACCCTCTCTCAAGAACAAAACAAGCCAGCTGGGTGGTGGTAGCGCACACCTTTAATCCCAGTGCTTAGGAGGCAGAGACAGGTAGATCTCTGTGAATTCGAGGCCAGCCTCGTCTACAAAGCGAGTTTCAGGACAGGTTCCAAAGCTACAGAGACACTCTGTCTCAATAAATAAATAAATAAAACAAAAACAAACCAAAACCAATACAAAACAAAAAATTCAGAAATAGATGTGGCAGGCCGGGCGGTGGTGGCGCACGCCTTTAATCCCAGCTCTCCGGAGGCAGAGGCAGGCGGATCTCTGTGAGTTCGAGACCAGCCTGGTCTACAGAGCTAGTTCCAGGACAGGCTCCAAAACCACAGAGAAACCCTGTCTCGAAAAACCAAAAAAAAAAAAAAAAAAAAAAAATAGATGTGGCAGATGCCTGTAATCCTAGCACTTGGGAGAATAAGGCAGGAGGATCAGAAGTTCAAGGTCATCTTTAGCTACACAGCGAACTTGAGGCCAGACTAGAATACATTTTTTAAAAAAATCAGGAGATGATAAAGGTCTGGCTTTGTGATATCCGCTGGGAAAGGAAGTCTTCTTGCTTCCAGGGCAGGGCAGTGTATAGTCCGGAACCTGGACTCTCCAGACATTTCTCACTTTTATCCCTGATCCCCCTTCAAGCTATGAACCACCCATGTCACCCCTAGAGCTGTGGATCCTAGGTTCAGCCGTGTGAGTTTTGTGGTCGGGGTGGAGATTGGATTCATTCTACAGAGACGAACAGCACAGAGCTGGGACCCTTGAGATGGCCAGGAATTGCTAGTGACTGTGTCTGTTAGTGAGCACCTGAGCTAGCAAATAAAGGGAGAGGCATGCCCTCCCTGCAGGAATAAAGCAGACTGGGGCAAGCCTGCAAAGACCACCAGAAAAACAAGGCAGCAACAATCCATGCTTCTTGGCCTCCTTTACAGTTCACAAATCACTTCATATTCATCAATGCAATAATGAAGATTTAGGGAGATGAGGGCAGGCAGGTATGAGAGCCCAGAAAACTGGAGCTCAGACAGGTAAATTTGCCCAGGGTAGCACAATCCGTAATCAGCAAAGAGTCTGCCTGGCCCCAACATTGTACTCATCCAACAACCTTGCATTGCTGCCCCTGCAGCGTGGAGGACAAGCCTGACTCCATCCTTTTTACTCCCTAGGCTGTCCAGGGTGACTGTTGCCAGTGTCTTGCACACAGAGGCTTATCAGCATCTGAAGGCATCCCCATAGGGGCTGGTGTTAGAAGAGACCAGGGACTGGGCCGAGTCCCATGCTTTGTCCCTGTTTGCCACTTTGGTGTCCCCATGTGATGGCCATCCTGCTACCACTTTCTTGGGCAGTGTAGAGGTCCAGGAGGGTGAGGTTATCACTTGCCAACTCCTGGACATCCTACAGGTTTTTGGCATATCTGCACCCAAATTGGCCTGGCCGCCCAATGACCTACTGGGGAGTGTCAGCCTACAGCTCAGGGTCACTTGCCCACTGCCCATGGATCTTCACTGTCTCCCTGGCCCAACCGACCCTAAACCCCTTGTCTATTTGAGTGAGTATGAGAGCGTATTGGAGGCCTCATTCCGTCTGAATGGTGACCCTAGTTCCCACGTGGTCCCTGAGCTCCATGCAGCCTTGGACCTTGCAGCTACTGACTTGGCGGGTCCTCGGCCAGTACATTGGTCGTCCCTGTTGACTGTTGTGGAAGTAGTGGCTAAGGCCTGGCTTTGCTTGGTGCTCACCTTGGGAGCCACTGTCCTGGCCTCCGGGACCACTGCTGCCCTGGCCTCGGCCATGCGCCAGTTCATAGTTCATCTTCGTAGCCTTCACCCGCTGCTCTACGCTCTGCCTTCAATGCAGAAGCTTGTCCTGGTCCTGCAGCATGAAGATCAGGACCTGGTCTTGCTGCAGATGGTGGTGATGGCAGCCTTAATTTTGCAGCAAGCACAGTGTGTCCCCGGGGGCCTATCTCCAGGCTTCCTGCAGGAACTGGCAGTCTCTGAGCCTGCCCAGTGGCAGGCAGATGGCAAAAACTGCACCTACCATGGTGTGGAGTTGCTGGGCGATTCAGAGGCTTCGTTGCGAGGTTTGGAACGCCTCCAGCAAGCTTTTTCTGGACCCATAGGCGCGCGTAGGGGCTGTTATTCCCTGGTTGCTCGCTGGATGCAGTGGCTGTGTTGGCAATAATCTTCGAGTCCTGCCTCTACCCGGAAGAATGGGGTGCACTCGATGAGGGCGTTATGTGGGTACTGCTGCTGGGCACTGGTGAACCAGTGTGCTGGGCGAGTTCGTGTTCTTCAAGGGCATGGTGACCAGCCTCGGGCCCCTCTGCCCACGTGCCCTGTGAGCCAAGCTGGCCGTGTGTGTATTCCGAGCTGTACGGAAATCTTTCCCGACTTCGCAGCCCTAGCTAGCCTTGGTGCTGCCCGCGTGCACTGGGCTGCTGGACAGGGTGGGCCGCAGGCGGCCACAAGCCACGGTGGTGGGGACAGAGCAGGGCCCCAGGCAGGCCATGGCGGCCACGTGGTGAAGATGGCAGTGGCTGTGCCCTGGCTGTATGAGTTTGATTGTGCACTGGCCATAGAGTATTTAGAAAGTAGATGGAGGGAGGGACTTCCGGGGTGGCCTCCCCTCCTCTTAGCCTGCAGAGGGTGGAAATTGAAGGGATCGCAGATACAACTTTACCCATCCACACTACACTCAAGCTGACCTATTAACCCCTCTGTCCCCTGCTCTTCACCAAACCAGACCCCTGGCCGGTGAGGGAAGAGGAGCCTGGGCAAGTGGTAGAGGTGCTAGGTAGGGCCTGGACAGTTCCAGTCCCATCTGTCCTTTCAGAATTTGCTTGTCCTCCTTTGAACCCTCCCCTCAGGTTTTGGTTGGAGGAAAGAAGGTTGGGCTTTAGGAACTGGGGGAACAGAGGTGAACAACGGCTTGCAGAGAATTTCCTCGCCCGTTGCTTTGCAGTGTCTCTTTTCCTAAGAGATTGTAAACCAGAGGACAGTGCTTGTTTCTGACCATAGCACAGTGCTAGCTGTGCAGAGACTAATAGGCCAGTGCACAGTGATTCCAGGGAGGTAGTGGTACCCTCTGTCCCTCTCCCCCTCCCATCTGCTGTCTGCTGGCTTTTCTGTACATGACTGTGTTTATAGGCATTTTATAGGCATACATCTACAGATGCTAAACAAGCCAATCTTATGTTTCAGAGGGTTAACACCCAAGAATTAAAAAGGACTTCTTTTGGTTTTGCAATTACAGGACTCAAGAAAGTCTCCAATAACTTGCATTGATATCTTTGTTTTTTTTCTTCCCTTCCTTAAAGTCTGATTTGTCGGTTCACAGCCCTTTCTTGCCTTTGCTTTACACTGTTAAGAGCAAAGACTGCAAAACCACAGTGTTGTTCCTGGGTGTCCTGAGGATTGATTTGGGGTCTCACCAGAACTAGAGACCCAAACTTTCAGAATGCTGTGGGTTTTTTTCTTTTTAAATTTGTGGGAGTTCTTAGATTTATTTTGTATGTATGAGTGCTTTGCCTGCATATATGTATGGGCGCCATGTGTTTGCCTGGAGCCTGCAGAGGTCGGAAGCAGGCATTGGGTCTGCTGGAACTGAAGTTACAGCTGTGAGCTGCCATGTGGGTGCTGAGAATCAAACCCAGGTCCTGTAGAATGGCCAGTGCTCTTAACCACTGAGTCATCTCTCCAGCCCCGTGCCATGGGTTTGTTCTCATCCCTTCTGTGAGTGGTGTGGAGCCTGAAGTGAGGGGGGGACAATCAATGAGAGGAGAGGGGGCTGGCCTTTCCCTATATTCCCTGAGTTTGGTGCTTTGAGATAAAGTATGGCATACTGTCACCATGGTGGTGTGTGTGTGTCAACCCTGACTCCTCTGACCCCTCTCTTGCCTGAACTTCCTTTGGGTGTCTAGTTGGGTCACTGTGCTGACCCTGTCTGTGAAAGAGGGTTGCTCTTCTGCCTAGGACACTTGAGCTGTAGACTCCGTGACTCTGGTTCAGCTGGAGCAGTTATAAAGAGGGAGCCAGGACTTTCTGTCCTGGCTGTAAAAGCCTTTCATTCTGGCAGCAGAGGTGGGAGAGAGCTCTCTGGCTTCTCATTTCAGACCCTGCCCTTCTTCCTCCTGCAGCAGGCCCAGCCTCCAGCACCCCCAGCCCCCTGCTGGCCTCCCTGACCCTGCCCACCCGGCCTCTGCAAACCCCGTTGGACTTCAAGCACTTGCTCGCCTTCCACATCAATGGCACCACCCCGCTCAGTCTCTTCCCCAACTTCAGCACGGTAGGGGCTGGGCAGAAGGGTGGGGACATATGCGGGCGGGAGGGGGGCAGGGGGACAAGGAAGGTGATTCAGCTGGCCCTAGGTGCTGCCAAATAGGACCCGGAACCCAGCTGTCTCTTGGCTAGAAATGAAGACAATGTCTTTCCTACCCTACCATCACAACTGTCCAGAGATGATTTTGGGGGGGGGGGTGATCCAGGTGTGTCAGTGTGCACTTGGGTTGTGGCTTTGATTTTCAAGTTAAAGATTATTTTATTATTTCTCTATGTGATTATGGGTTTGAGTCAATGTATGTTCACACGTGTGGGTTCACATGCCTGTGTATGCATAGCAGCCAGAAGAGGTCATTGCATGTCCTCTATGACCTCTCCCTGAACCTGGAGCTCCTGTTTTCCCAGCAAGGCTGAAGATCAGCTAAGCGCCAACAATCCTCCTGCCTCTATCCCCATTGGAGCTGTGATTACATATTTCCTAGGGCACCTGGTTGGCTGTGTGGGTACTGGGATTCGAACTCCAGTCCTCACGACTGCACAAGCAAGTGCTTTGAACTGCGGAGCTATCACTCCAGACCTAATGTCTTTGTGTTGGAGTTTGTGTTTCTGGAGGTCTGTGTGTTATCGGTGGGTGCAAATTTGTGTATTGTTTGTGACGGCTTTTGTATGTGTGTGGAGGGGATTGTATGTAATATGTGTGCATGTGAATCTGAGGGGTTTGGATATCTTTATACCTTCTCTAATGTGCTTGGCATGTATGTGATTTAGGTGACTGAGAGCCCATTCATGGTTGTATAGTATCTATGTGTCTAAGAGCATCTTTCTGCTTGTCTGTGAGTCTGTAAGTGCCTTCAAACTCATGTGCTTGGTATCTGTATATTTCTCTGCATGCACTCAGGTGTGTGTGTGAGCATGCGCTCATGTATGGGTGTGTAGGACAAATGTTAGGAGTACTCCATGGGGTTTGAGGAGCAGGACACCTTTTAATTCTGAAAATCAGATGCAATCATAGATGAACTCCATGCCATCCTCAGGAAACTGTCACATGCCCTCCCAATAACCTGGAGGAGTCTCCCTCTTTTTGTCACTTCCAGGTTTGAACAGAGGTCCTGAGGAGTATGAGACACTCGGGCATGGGCCTAGGGGCTTGGGGCCTTACTGTCGCTTACAGATCTGTTCACTGAGCAAAGGCGTAGTCTCTCAAAGACTGGTGCTGAGACCACCCACTAAGGTCCTGATGCCGGGTCTGCTCTCCCTTGGGCACTGTCCAGGCTGGAACCTCTGTTTTCAGAGCAGTCGCTAGAGCATGTTCTCCCCTCTGCCGCTGGTTTCTTCCCGTGGGAAGGTTTGGAAAGTTCTTTTTGACTAACTAAGACACCTTCTGGTTTGATTCCAACAACCCAAGCCCCTAAAGCACAGCATGGTGGTACTACCTTCAATGCCAGCACGCTGGAGAGTAAGGCAGAAGGAACAACCTGGGCTACACCAGCGAGTTAAAGGCCAGCCTGAGCTATGTTGTGAGACTCTGTTTCAAAAACAAAACAAAATAAAACACCCCCCCCCAAAACTAAGGCCCCTGAGAAAAGACATAGAAACCGAGATGCTGAGGCGGCTTGGAACATAGCTCAACTGGTAGAGTGCTTGCCTGGCAGGCGCAAAGCTCTGAGCTTGATTCTCAGCACCACACAAATCGGGAGGCACAGGCCTTAATTCCCAGCACTTGGGAGGTAAAGGCAGGAGGGACTATTTTAAGGTCATCCTCAGCTACAAAGTGAGTTCAAGACCAGCCTAGACTACTTGAGACTCTATCTCAAAAGGAAAACAGAAAAGAAAGAAAGAAAATTACATGAGGTCGCATACCTATAATCCCAACACTCGGAAGCAGGGGCAGGAAGACGGTGCGCCCAAGGCCAGTCTGAGCTGGATTAGACTTTGCCTCAAATAAATAAAAATGAGAAAGAGAACAAAAAAAAAAAAAAGGAAAGAATATACAAAATTTACAATTAGGCCGGGCAGTGGTGGCACACGCCTTTAATCCCAGCACTCGGGAGGCAGAGGCAGGCGGGTCTCTGTGAGTTCGAGACCAGCCTGGTCTGCAAGAGCTAGTTCCAGGACAGGCTCCAAATCCACAGAGAAACCCTGTCTCGAAAAACCAAAAAAAAAAAAAAAATTACAATTAGGAAAAGTAAGAAAACACTCAAGTTTATATTTGAAAACACTCAAAGGGACAGTCCTGCTACTTGAGGGACCTCAGGTCTCCCTGTGCTGTCCTGCTTGGCCACTCGCCTCCCTGGCCATGACTGTCATCCTCCTTAGCAGACATCAGAGTCTGGGACAGTGGCAGAGCTAGTGAGGTAGGGGTTCTTGCCCTCACCAGCAGGTTCAGACACAAAAACTGGGTTGGAATGAAGGAAATTCCACAAAAAGAATCCTTGTCCCTTCCCTGCTATGGTCTGTGATCACTCTTTGTCCCGATGCTGTGCCCCTTTAAAAAGAGAAACCAAAACCCAAAAACTAAGACCAGAAAGGGCAGCAAGAGACGTCAAGGTGATCTCGTGAGAGTCAGGCCACGGCTCTAGGCATTCAGGTCACCCTGGGCCATCCCCCTTGCCGCCTGACAGATCTGGTCTGTACCCAGACAAGGGTACAGCCACAGGGCAGGAGAGGTCTGGTAGACTGAGCACATTTGGAACTGCACCATTCCGGAGCATGCAGCAGGAACTTGCCCTTTGTTCCCCCTCACAGATGGACCCTGTCCAGAAAGCTGTCATCAGTCACACATTCGGGGTCCCCTCCCCTCTGAAGAAGAAGCTGTTCATCTCCTGTAACATCTGTCACCTGAGGTTCAACTCAGCGGTGAGAGGGAGTCATGGAAACGGAGGTTGGAGGGAGCTGGGTCTCTTCGGGCTGCTGGAGAGGGGCTGTGCTCTGATACCCCATCCTCTGCTGACTCCTCCCTTTCTCAGACCCCTCCTGCCCACATGTAGCCTACTGGGATTCCATTTACCTCCCCTCTGCTTTGCATCCACCTTTTGGATGTCCCGGGGGCCATAGTGCGAGTTTCTCGTCTTGAACTGAGATGTTTATAGCATGTATTCTCCCCAGCGTCCTTTGCGGGGAGGTGGTGGAACTTACTATAGAAACCAGGCTGGCCTTGAACTCACGAGACCCACCTGCCACTGCCTCCCTGCTGGGATGAAAGGTGCACACCACTATACCCAGCGTCGGTGAGTTTTGTTTTTGTTGAGACAGCCTCACTATGTGGCTGTCCTGGAACTCGCTCTGTAGACCAGGCTGGCCTCGAACTCATAGAGATCCACCTGCCTCTGCCTCCCTAGTGCTGGGATTAAAGATGTACATGACTATACTTTGTCATCTTAATGGACTCCCATGATGCCTCTGTGAGAGGTACAGAGGCACAATTTCCATCTCCACTTTTCTGAGGAGGACACAGTCTCAGAGTGGATAAATAGTTTGCCTGAAGACACAACTGGGAAATAAATAGCATTGCTAGGATTTGAACCCAGTCCCGGCTGACCCTGAGGTCTGCATACTCGTCCCATAGCCTATCCTGGGGGAGAGGAGGATCTTTACTGTGGAACTTGGGTTAGTTGTCAAAACCACTGTGGACTGTAGCCAAAGAGTTCAAGGAAGGGCAGTGGAGGCTTGTCTTTCCCACCTTTGGGAGACAGGAGTTGAGAAGCACAAGTAGAGACTCCTAGTGAAGTAGAGAGGATGCCAATAGTCCAGCTGTGGTGTTTTCTCCAGATGCTTACGTCACATCATTCCATAAAAAGTAGGCAAAGAGAATTTCTGGAAGGAACATGTCTCCATACCTTGGCCCTGGCAGAATGGCTGGGCCAATTGCAAATGTTCAATTTCAAAAAATATCAAAGGAATGAATGTTTTTGGAGTACATAAGCCCAAAATATGAGTACTGCTGTGCTTTCCATATGTGTACCCCTGAACATTCAGGAGTTCCGACTTTATAAACTAGACTAGCAGTTCATATCCCATTTAGCTTAAAGCTTAAAGCCGGACACAGTGGTGCACACCTGTGATGCCAGCGCTTGGGAGGCTGAGGCAGAAGGATTGTGAGTGAAAGCCAGCCTGAACCACACAATTCACTTCAAGAATATTCTGTATATGTAGGCAGACACTAAGGGAATCACTTGGTCAACGTCTCTGGGCTCAACCCTTCTGGATGTGGGAACACACAGTAGAAGCAAACAGGGCCAGAGATGTGGCCTAGTGGAGGGTGGAGGGCATGGCCTAGGACCCATGAGACTTTGTGTTCAATTCCCAGTTCAGAACACACACACACACACACACACACACACACACACACACACACACTGGGTGAGAAAGTTCAGTGAGGTGCTGTGACCGACCTAAAGAAGCATAGCTTACAAGGCAGAGGCCGCCTGCATTGGGGCATCTGTGAGGACACACTCGGTAAACCTCCGGACCAGATGCATGTGGCGACGACTGTGACACTGACTTCACTTGTTGTGCCCAAGCTTTGTGCCCCTTTAACCCCATATCCCTCTGTTTAACCTCATTCCCGAATGAGGCATGTGACCTCCCCTCCCTTTTCCAGAACCAGGCTGAAGCTCATTACAAGGGTCACAGACATGCCAGAAAACTCAAGGCTGTCGAGGCTGCCAAGAGCAAGCAGAGACCTCGAAACCTGACCCCAAATGGGACAGTGGCATCTTCAGCCTCACCTCCAGCCAGTGGAGGCGCCGGAAGCCCGCAGAGCAAAGGTCAGTCCTGAACCCAAGTCCCCACATTGAGGCTAGCTTCTGACAGTGGCTTACGTGACTGGCTCGTCACCATCCTTCTTTCTCTTTCGTAAAACTTGGGCTGTCTTTGCTGTTGTTACTGTGTTATTTTTCTTTGTGTGTGTGTGCATGCATGTGTGTCTGTATGTGTGGGTGCCCATGGACCATAGAAGCCAAAAGAGGGTATAAGATCCCCTGGAGCTGGAGTACAAGTGGTTGTGAGGGGCCTCGCGTGGGTGCTAGGGATCAAATTCCAGCTGCTGCAAGAGTTGCTCTTCTGACTGCTGAGCCATCTCTCCAGCCTTTCACCATCTTTTTTTTTTAATATTTATTTATTATGTATACAATATTCTGTCTGTGTGTATGCCTGCAGGCCAGAAGAGAGCATTACAGATGGTCATGAGCCACCATGTGGTTGCTGGGAATTGAACTCAGGACCTGTGGAAGAGCAGGCAATGCTCTTAACCTCTGAGCCATCTCTCCAGCCTTTCACCATCTTTCTGGCTGGGAAATTATTCTGTATATACCCGTACGGGCAGACACCTACTGTCCCCTGACATTCCTTAGGCTCAATCTGGACCAGGTTACAAGCTGCCAAGCACTCCTAGCCTGAATTAGGATCCTTCCCAACTATGATCTGTGTTAGTTCCCTAAGTCTGGCAGAACAAATGGCTACGAAGTAGGTGGCCAAAATAGTAGGAGTATGTTCTCCACAATCCAGAGCTCAGCAGTCTGCAATCAAATATTGGATACATGTGTTATTTGTTTTTTTTCCCCCCGGGTGCTAGAGGGAGAAGCCCCCGTTTCTCGGCTGATGGGCACCACTGTCCTCCACACTCCTTATAGACCAAGGAAGGAAAGTTCTGAGTCTGCTGGGCTATGCATTGAGTCCAAGGCTAGCTTAGGTTGCATAAGACTCTGTCTCAGAAAATAAAGGACAGGGGGCTGGCTGTGTAGCTCAGTGGGTAGAGTGTTTACATACCACATGGGCAATCCTGGGTTTGATCCCAGCACCAACACTAAACCAGGCATAGTGGCACAAATCCATGATCACAGAACTTGGGAGGTGAAGGCAGGAGGATTAGAAGTTCAAGGAAATCCTCAGCTACATAGTGAGTTCATAACCAGCCTGAGATACATGAGACATGACCAAACAAAAACAAAACCAAAAAATGCCAACACCGATTTGTGCATGAGTTTACATGTAGTAGCTCTTTGTTTTCACTGCTGTGTTACTGGACTGCATGTGTATACCACCATTCTCCTGTGTGATGGACTCACAATCTCCAGGTTGATACTATTATGAGTGACAGTTTATAAACACTCTAGCACACTTTCTGGTGACTTCTGCTTACTTAATACTGAGGCGCTAGAATGTCAGGGCATCCTGCTTCTTCCAGTTTGATGGATTTTTATATGGGGAAACTGAGGCCCACGTTTGCCTAGAGAGATGGTGGCGAGGTGGGCCTAGATTTCAGTGTTAGCTTTCCTTCCGGCAGGGAGCCTCCCACCCTCCCGCACCATCTCCACCGCGGTGCTGAGCCTCGGGGGCTGGACTCTCCCCATATGTCCCATCTCCTTGCAGACTCTGTATCTCCTCCTCACGGCTCTTCACTTCAGCTACCTCCGACCTCAGACACATCAGTCAGAGAGCCGGCCCACTCAGACCCCTTGGATGCCGCTGCTTCCTCTTCCTCTTCTTCCTCTTCCTGTCCACCCTGCTCCCCGGATCCTGGCACGGAAGCACCAGGGCCTGAGCCAGCAGAAGTGGCTGTGGGGAGTGGGGTGAATGGGGAAGGCAGGAGCGAAAAGGGGTGCCTCTACTGCCCGACTTGTAAAGTGACAGTAAACTCGGCCTCACAGCTTCAGGCTCACAACACAGGTCAGTGCTTCCCAGGACCCATGGCATCCATGGCTGGGTGACAGGAACCCTACCCACTGTTACTACACAGGCATTTCTGGGTCTCTTGATCCCAAGGGAGGGGGCATCAGGAAGAGAAGTCTCAGCAACCAGAACTGAAGATTGCTAAGGACTATCCTGCTCCATTCTCCTTGGATCAACACAAAAGGAAGGGACTTTAGCTCAGATGCCTATAAGGCCTTCTTCCTTGGAGATGTCCACAGGAAGCCATAGACAAGCCAGAGATGCTGGGAAGGGAAGCCCACGTGGTTGGGGGGGGCCTGTTATATGTAGAGCAAGGTTTGCGAGGGGCAACCAGCTAACCTAGTTTGGTGCTGTGGTCTCCTTTCTGTACTGACAGACTTGTCGTCTTTCCTTCCAGGAGCCAAGCACCGATGGATGGTGGAAGGCCACCAAGGGGCTCCCCGAAGGGGCCGGGGCCGTCCTGTGTCCCAGGGAGGGGCTGGACACAAGACAAAGAAAGTGCTAGGAAATCGCGGGGGCCGGCAGGGACCTAGCCCTCCCTTCCAGTGTGCTCTCTGTCAGCTCCAGGTCAATTCGGAGACCCAACTCAAGCAGGTAGGAGAAGGAAGGCCAGGGTTGGGTGGGCATCAGAGCAAGGGACGAAGGGTTGATGCACACTCATGGATGGATGTGGCAGGGCAAGCTGGTTGCCTAGGGCTGCCCCATCAAGAGAACCCATCGTGAGTGTTGAATGTGAGATCTGTGTTAGAGGAACGCTAATAATCTGGACAACAGAGTAATTTTGGGTTCTGTGGCCTTCCTCCTCTCACCCCCGTCCTGTCTGTCTGTCAGCACATGAACAGCCGGAGGCACAAAGACCGCTTGGCCGGGAAGTCCCCCAAGCCCTCCAGCCAGCACAGCAAACTGCAGAAACAGGCAGCTTTGGCTGTGAGTGCCCTCAAGGTACCTGTCTCTAGGCAATAGTCTACTAGGGAGAGTGGGAGGAAGGGCCAGCTCAAAGACTTGGGGTGTGGCAGGAAGGTGTTGGCACTGCAGCTGCCTGGGCAGGGACAGGGTTAGGGTTGGGGTTGGGCTATGACCACAGGAATTTCCGGTGGGTGGGGTGGGCTACGACCATAATATGAGAGGCAAAAGCCAGGAGTGGATGTGCTGATTCTAGGGACCATCTCTTCCTCCCCCTCCCAGTGTCCTGGCTCTGCCTGTCCTGAGGTTGTCCATCTGCTGGGCAGGAAGACAGGTGGCATAGCAAGCCCTCTGGAATGGCCGTTTGGGGGTGGGAAGGAGGCGGTTAGACTTGGAACTCCAAAAGTCATGTCCCTGAGGCAGAAAAGCTCCTGGATGTAGCCCAGGGAGGGGGTGGGCTTCTCTGGTATTGGAGACCCTGTCCATTTCTCTCTCTCTCTCTCTCTCTTTTTTTTGTAGTCTAAATTGGCCTTGCAGAAGCAACTCACCAAGACACTGGCAGCCCGCTTCCTGCCCAGTCCGCTGCCCACCACAGCTGCTGCCATCTGTGCCCTGCCGGGGCCCCTGGCCCTCCGGCCTGCCACAACAACAGCGGCTACCCTCTTCCCAGCTCCTGTCCTGGGCCCAGCTCTGTTCCGTACCCCAGCGGGAGCTGTCCGCACTGCTGCAGGGCCCATACTTTTCGCTCCCTATTAGTGGTCCCAGGATGGCCACATCCTATCTCTTCCTGGCAGGCACTTGTCTCCACATCCCAGAGACTGCCTTTTGCAGTTTCTGGGTTCCCACCTAACCAGGGGTAGCTGCTTCTCAGTCCGACTGGGGTGTTTCCAGTCCCCTGGGCCTGACGACCATCACTGTCCTCCTTTCCTGGGCTAGTCCTGGGCTTCCTGCATCTCCGGCTCCACGAATCCCAAAGATCTATGCAAAATCACAGCCCCAGCCACATGGTGCTCTCGTACCCCAACCCCAACCAGACTTACACAGTGCAGACTCCACATCTCAGCCCCCACAAGCCAGTCTCTCCTGCCATGTTCTAGGGCCCTCTGAACAGCCACTGGAGCTAGGGTATCACAGGGGTGTGGGTGGGAACCTAACGGCCGTGTTTACCATGGGGTAGTCAGGTGGGGTGGTGCTCGCCTATAATCCTGGCATCTGGATCATGAGTTCAGTCAGTTTGGGCCATATAGCTAGATACTGTCTCAAAACAAGCCTGGAGAAGAGGCCCCCAAAGTCCTTCAAAGGAAGGTGCTGTGAAAATGGGGCAGAGTTGCGGGGAAGCTCCAGCTCCTCTGTAGGGGTGAGGCTAGAAGGTGAGACAGGTGTCAGGCTGGACCTGACTGTGTAGCCCCAGCTGGTCTGAAACTCTGTAGACCAGGCTTTTCGAGATCCACCTGCCTCTGCCTCTGCCTCAAGTGGCCCTGGCTTTAGTGGAAGTGACCTGTCTTACCACTCTGGTCCTTCTTAACCTTTCGGTGGTTCTGCTGGAGCCCCTCTTCTAAGGAAGGCTCTGGGTCTCCCTTAGCCTAGGGATTGTCCACTCCGGACTGGGGTCCAGTCTCTCCAACTGTGGAGCTCGGGGCTGGTACACAGTCCTTTATGCCCTCAAGATCCACCTTCATGTTGCCAAAGCCAGTGCCACTACCCCACTCACTAGGGGACTTCGCCAGTATCTACTTGTATCTTTTTTTTTTTGGAAAACTATTTCCAATGGGACAAGAAAAGGGTTCGGGCCGGGCGATGGTGGCGCACGCCTTTAATCCCAGCACTCGGGAGGCAGAGGCAGGCGGATCTCTGTGAGTTCGAGACCAGCCTGGTCTACAGAGCTAGTTCCAGGACAGGCTCCAAAGCCACAGAGAAACCCTGTCTCGAAAANGGCAGGCGGATCTCTGTGAGTTCGAGACCAGCCTGGTCTACAGAGCTAGTTCCAGGACAGGCTCCAAAGCCACAGAGAAACCCTGTCTCGAAAACCCAAAAAAAAAAAAAAAAAAAAAAAAGGGTTCGGGGGAGGGAAACTTTTTGATAACAGCAGTTGTGGTTTTATTGTGTCCAACACATTAATAAATGAACTTCAAGCCTGAGCCAGGAGATGCCCTGACTCTCCTTGCCCAGCCCTGGGGAGAAGGGGTGGTACAGGAGGTGGCCTGGCTGTAGTGTCTGACTCACATGAGGTGTGCACATCAGAAGCTCGGTGGGCACCAGAAGTTGTGGGTTATAAGCTCACTTGATAGATAGCACAAGCCCTGCACACAAGGCCTGTCAGCTTCTAGGAAGCTGCTACTGGTTTGCCTGGTTCTGTTCAGGCATCTGAGGTAAGAAGGAAGGGCTGGAGGAGCGGCTTATCCCACCTTCACCAGGGTAGCAGGCATATAAATACAGAGAATATAAATATAAGTCCAGCTACTAGCCAAAAACAACCAGGAGGGATGGACACTAGCCCGATGGGCAGGTCCAGGGACTGTACTGCTTGTGCCACTGAGCACAGAGTGCACTCCTGCCCCCTGGTGTTTACAAGAGGCGTGTCCAGCCTCCAGGGCTGGTTGGTGTAGCACCTTGAAGAGGGTGAAGCAGGGGCAGACACAGGAGGCCCAAGCCACCGGCTTTAGAAAGTCACAGAGCAGCCAAGGCTCTAAGTGATCATCCAAGCTCCTGTTGCCTCACAGATGAGAAAACTGAAGCCCAGAAAAGAATGGCCTTGCTAGGCCACAGGATGACTGACAGCCCAGTCATCATTCCACACCACCTCAACCAATGAGGCCTCTGCTCCCAGAGCAGGAAGAGGAAGTAAAAGAGCTGGGCGAAGAGTAGAGGTCAAACAGAAAACACCACTCCCAGGAGCCTGGCTTTTCCCAGCCTTGAACAGGCCAAGGGAAAGGTCAGAGTGAGAGACAGGAGCCAACTCTAAGCCAGCATATATGACAGTGTGCTCACACTACCCGGTCACTTTGCTGAGCCCAGGCTGGTGCTGTATTACTGGCAGGAAATTTAGAGAGTTGGAATCCCTGATAGGAGCCAGACCATGGACTGGGCACTTTGGCATGACAGCCCTGCTTCCTGCCCCGGGCAGATGGAAGGGACACTATGTACCATGAGTGTCCAGGTAACAGTGGAGACAATGGGATGTGAGCTGGGCGTGGGGTGGGGACTATCATGGAAGGGTCAAGGGGAGGGCCAGCAATCAAGTTCACCTGCACTTCTTGGAGTTAAGAGGGGACAAAAGTGGCATTGGCCTGGGCCGGCCCAGCTTCCTGGCCTAGAAGATTATTCCCTTACTGATTGAAAGAACAGCTTGCTTATGCACGCTTGTGCCCTCAACCCATCCTGGAACGGGGTTGGAAAGGTGAAGAAAGAAGGGCAGCCCTTCAGCCATCCAAGGAGCCGCTGCCCTTGTTCTTGCGGCTGAGGGGGAAGGCAGACTTGCTCTGGGGCTGGGTCATCTTGCTCGCCAGGTATATGAAAGGCTCCAGGAGGGAGCGGCGGTCAGCCACTGACACCTCCCATAGTTTCACCTTCTCTGACTTGGCCCAGTGCTGGGCCACATCAGGGTCTACACGACGTTGCTCCTGCAGGTCACACTTGTTGCCAAGGACCACGATGGTGACCTAAAGAAGAGAGATAAGAGTAGATAGAAGTTGGCTGGGTAGTGGAGGTGCATGCCTTTAATCCCAGCACTTGGGAGACAGAGACATGCAGATCGCTGTGAGTTCAAGGCCAGCCTGGTCTACAAAGTGACTTCCAGGACAGCCACCGTATAAATATAGTGATTCAGGCTCAGGAGTAGCAGTCAGCTGTTTCTGGCCAACAGCTGGGGAAGATGCAGTTCCCAGAGGCCAACAGCTTACAGAATTTTGGAGGACTGGCAAGGGCATGGAGCCACAGGGAAGAAAGATTCGGGGGAGCTTCATGTGTTAAAACTGATCCTATTAAACCACACAAAAGTGTTTATATTGTCCTAGCCACCTCTTGTGCAGGATGAAGACCTCCAATGACCTTCATGGTCTTCTAGCTCCTAAACTACCCCTTGGCAAATAAGCACAACTGGAATCGTCCCCAAAGCCTACCAAGTACCCACGCCCTCCTACCACTGGGCTCTCAAGAAGTCCAGGACGTGTACCTCCTTCTTGTCCTTGGACTTGTCGATTTCCTTCTTGAGCAGCTCAACGCGCTGAAACGACTCTCGGCTGTCTGTGCTGTAGACCAGGACGTAGCCATCAGTGCAGGAGAAGCAGTGCCTGGGCAACTCGGCCCCATCCCGGAGACCCCGAGTGTCATAGAAACGCACCTGCTCCCGCACCCCTCGGTCTGTCTCAATGGAGCCCACATAGATGTCTTCCTGGGTCTCAATCATCTCAGAACCTGGGTGAAAATGAGACTTGATTAAGAGTCAAGGGAGATGGGACGTGTGAGAGAGGTGGACATCGCAGTGAGAATGAGGAAAGTGAGGGCTCTGAAGAGGCCACGCTTGAGAGAGCTAGGCAGGGATGACTTGGGGAATGTGTGTCATGTCACCATCACACAAAGCAACACTGGGTGCAGCACCACACACCTTGAATCACAGCTCTTGGAGGGCAGGGGCAGAGGCAGGCGGATCTCTGCGAGACCCAGGCCAGCCTGGTCAGTGTGGTGAGGCCATCTCAGAGATGATGATAGTGACAACAAAGTGGAGAGTGTGGGGAGCAGACACCGCCCACCCACCTCTGACCTATGCACCACGGGCACACACGGGGCGTGCAGGCACATCAGGAATGCACACTCCCCAAGCGCCCTGTGGGGCTTTTTCTAGCTTGGTTTTGGGTTTCTCCCTTCTAGAGTTATTCAATGATGTAGACCTGGGGAGTACCATGTTTTCCTTTTTCCTCCATTGCTGGGGTTCAAACCAGTACTCCGTCAGCCATGCCTGCAGGCCCAGTTTTGAGGGTGTAAAAGCAGCTGGTGTCCTTTTCAGCCTTTGTGTTCGTGTGACCAGATCCCACCAAATTCAACATCTCCCACCAACCCGCCAGCCCCAGCAACACTCACCCACGACATGGTTCCCATACAGGAGTTGCTCAAGAATTGAAGTTTTGCCCACAGATGCCTGGCCACACACGACCACCTTGCAGCTCTTCCCCATGCTTAGCGTTCAACCTTCAAGAACAGAAGGAGTGTGGTAAGGGAAGATGGAGGGCAGCTAGATAGCAGACTGGGGAAGCTCCAGGGGTTGAGCAGCACCCCGATGTATTTCCATGCCCTACTGAGCAGTCTGCTGTTCTGTAATTAACCTACTTGTCCCAGGAGTGGCCAGGATTTGGCACACAGCAGGTGTGGGATTAATGGCACCACAAAAGGAGAGGCCCAGGGAGTGGTTTACAAAAAGCTGGCCAGGTTCTTCCCAGTGCACAGGATGTATAGGGCACCAAATTCCTGAAGGAAGTTTCAAAAGAGCTCTTGCTCTTTTGCTGGGTTCTGTTTGTTTGTGTTTTGTTCTGCGGAGATAGGATCTCGTGTAGCCGAAGCTGGCTCACAGCTGATCCTCTGGCCTCTCCCTCTCAAGTGCTGGGAGTACAGGCATGTGCACACCAGGCTGTTTTCTCTCTTGAACCATGATCCCCATGAAGAAAGAAGCACGGATTAAGATTTGTCTTAATTCATCTTCTTGGAGAGAGTGTGCAAATAGAGAAATAACTTGCTTTCCTGAATGACTGAGTGAGAACAAATTCTGCCTAACCATCCCGAGTCAAATCCATGGGAGAAAAACAAACAAACATAAACAAACAAAAAACAACCCACACATATCAGACAAGAAGTGATGGAATCAAAGCCGCTTCAGAAAGGGATTTTTTACGGCACCGAGAGAAAGCTCAGACTTAAAAACTCTCTGAAGAAGCCGGGCGATGGTGGCGCACGCCTTTAATCCCAGTACTCGGGAGGCAGACGCAGGCGGATCTCTGTGAGTTCGAGACCAGCCTGGTCTACAAGAGCTAGTTCCAGGACAGGCTCCAAAGCCACAGAGAAACCCTGTCTTGAAAAACTAAAAAAAAAAAAAAAAAAAAAAAAAAAAAAAAAAAAAAAAAAAAAAAAAAAAAAAAAAAAAAAAAAAAAAAAAAAAAAAAAAAAAACAAAACTCTCTGAAGAGACTCCTATCGAGAAACTTCCAAACACAGACTCCTGGGAAGCTCCAGTGATCTCCCTTCCCTCTCCCTCAGAAAGTAGAGATCCTGCCCCAAAGGGGTCGCAAGCAGAAACCTCTCTAGGAGATTCTCCTAACGCCGATCTCCACCCCATGGTCTGAGAGGCTGCCAGGGGCCGCCGCCACAGACTCCCCCTGAAGGGCACCCCTCAGAAACTATCCGTAGGCAGAGACAGGACAACCAAAGTGGATCAGGGGCAGAGGCCGATCCTACCCCGCCTCTCAGCTCCATACCTCCGGGGTCCCCGCAGCACTCCAGCTGAGGTGCCCCCCGGAGTGGGCAGGACCATGGGAGGGGCAGTTCGACGGTAAGGACGCCCCTCTCCCTCTGGGTGGAAGCACTTGCTCTGGAGCCCCGCCCCCCAACGGCCGGCCTTCAAGACAACTTCCGGCAACGCAAAGCGAGCGCTGGTCCCACAGCGCCCCCAGAGGCCGGCGGGGGAAATGCTGGCCAGAATTTACGGTTTTGATTACCAAACTGATGCTTCCAGTCTCTGATACCGAAACGTTCTCTCTCTAGAGGACAATAATCCATCATTAATTCTATCATCTATTCGACAAGCTTTTTTCTTTTCTTGGCGGTGCTATGAATGGAACCCAGGGTCTTGCATATACCAAGCAAGTGCTCTTTGAACCTGGAATTTTTTTCTTTTTTAAATAAAATTTCTCTATGTAGCCCTGACT